TAACTTCATTTTAAAATTCTAAATCAAGCTGGGTGGCGGCGGCACATGACTTTAATTCCAGAGGCAGAGGCAGAGGCAGGCGGATCTGAGTTTGAGGCCAGCCTGATCTACAGAGTTAGAGGAAAGTCAGGGCTGCACAGAGAAACTCGGTCTGGAAAACAAAACAAACAAACAAAAAATTCACTACACAGAGAAACTCTGTCTCCAAAACAAAACAAACAAAAAATTCACTACACAGAGAAACTCTGTCTCCAAAACAAAACAAACAAAAAATTCACTACACAGAGAAACTGTCTCCAAAACAAAACAAACAAAAATTCTTAGTTAATAGTCGTTGAAAAGTTGGTTCCTGTTCTTATGCCAAGTAAAATTGCTTAAGATTTATGACATCGATTTTCCTTACCACTTATTCGGATGGTAAAAGTGAACAGAAATCTAACTAGAAGCAAGGGTGTCAGTATGCAGTATCTCTACGACAAAAGTATTATAAATTCTAAATTTATAACCAAAAGGTCAGGTAATGGTGCACCACACAACAACTTCAAAGTGATTCAACTGCTGAAAAAATAAATAAACCATAGTCACTTCCACACTTTCTTTCTTGGAGTCTGTTCCTCTTATATTGTGTTATTTTTCATATCTGCAACAATGCTAATGTCCCCCTTATCACTAAGACACTTAAGACAGCTCTAACTTCCTTTTGATCAGCCAAAAGATTCAAGCAGGTGTGGTGGTATTCTAATTGTACTGAAATGTGATTTTGATTGTATGTTAATAAAGTTGCCCGGGGGTCAGAGCTATTAGAGCCATAGACAGAGTGTGGTGTTGGTGGCACACGCCTTTAATCCCATAGATCTCTGTGTGTTCAGGGATACAGCCAGCATTAGAGACATATGCCTTTAAGACCTAGGGGGCTGTACATTCAGACAGTGACGAGGCAGTCACGTGTTTGGGTTTACAACCAATGAGAAGGCAGAATGACTGGAAAAATGACTTACGCACAGGAAATAGCTCTCTTTCGAGAAGCTGGGTCACAGAGGAGGAAGGGTGAGATTTTAGCTCTGAGCTCTGACCTCTTGGCTTTCTCTTTTACATTGTTTCTGTGTTTCTTATTTAATAAGACGGTTGGTTACATCTACAAGCAGGTACTCTGGTGGTTAAGGAAAAAAAAATCTGGGGCTGGAGAGATGACTCAGTGGTTAAGAGCATTGGCTGCTCTTCCAGAGGTCGTGAGTTCAACTCCCAGCAACCACATGGCGGCTCACAAGCATCTCTAGTGGGATCTGATGCCCTCTTCTGGCATAAAGTTGTACATGCAGATAAAGCACTCATACACATGCATAAATAATAAAATCTTTAAAAAAAAGAATTAAAAAGGAAAAGAAAAGAAAAGAAATCCAGTACTTATCCTCATGGGGCTCATATTCTAGGGGAGTAATATAAGGGAGTGATTACCAGAATCAGCTGTGAACAGAAAGTACAGACTGCTAAGAGGTAAGTGAAGAAAGGCAATCTGAATTGTCAGCACCTATGAGAACGGGCACCGATGCCAGCACTTTGGACCTGCTCAGCTAAGGATGCAAAGCTTTCTTCTCTTTCTCGTCACTCTTTAACACTACCCCCAGCCCTCCCTCCGCACTGAACTTTGTCTACTCACTTCCCAGGCTCCTGCCTCATTTTAACCCTTTCCCTTCTATTCCCGCCACACGTTCCTCCTATACCTACCACGTTTGACCCACAGGGCTTTGAGCTTCTGCTTTCCTCTGCCTTAACATTGTCTCCAGGAATCCTAACAGCTGTTTGCTTTATCTTGGCTTAAATCTTTTCTATGAGGAGCCAATCCTATTCCAAACCAAAACAGAAGTCTCTTCCCATTCAGCTAGTACCAAGTCACTATTTTCTGTCTTTCATGAGACGTTTGTTTGGTAAATTGTGCAAATTTGGAAGTAACTCCCCTTTTGATTTATTGGTGTTAATGACTCCTCTGACTGTCTCCTTGTCATTTTTCCAAGGAATTTTTTTAATAACAAAAAGCACTGAACTAGATATTTCAAAGATGTTAACACATATCCATTATATACTATAATTTTGTAAGTTATATAAAAGTATAATTCCTCGTGTAAGGGAAGACTTAACTATCAAAAAGAATGATAAAAACAACCATGACACATAAACTATAGAGGTAAGGAAGAAATTTTTAAAAAAAGAACTGATATCTGAAAAGGGTGGCATACGGTTTTAGTAGATGGTTTTAGGGACAGATGACATTCCATTCAGATAAAAAAAAAAAAATAGAGATGATGAGGCAGAAAGCCAAGTTCTACTTGGAACCAAAAAGATGCCAGATTTACAACAGTCGAAAACAGATCAGCAAAGACGCTAGACTTCTATGCTAGCTGAACGGTTTGGATCTTAGTGCAGTCAGTAAGGATGCTATGGAAGGCATGGGCATGATCCATCAAAGCAGCATTTCTGAGAGATCAATCTGCTGTCATGTTGGACTAACTGGAGGAGAAAAGAGTAGAACTGTAGGGACCTCTTAAGAGGCTCTGTTCGCACTCCATGTGAATACTTAGAGGAGAATGTGAACAAAACAGGACACATCAAAGGGTATATTAAAATTACACAGGGCGTAGCTACAGATTAAATGCAAACCAAAGAGAGCATCAAAAGTAACTCAAGGGGCCATCGAGATGGCCGAGGCCATAAAGAAGCTTGCTGCCAAGCCTGATGATCTGAGTTTGATCCCCAGAACCCATGTGGTGGAGAGAACTAACTCCCACAATTGTCCTCTTATATGTACATAAGTATATCCACACATGCACAAAATAAATAGATGTCAAAACTATTTTTAAAAGGAACCTTTGGTCTAGGATAAACAAGAAAACGCACGCACGCACAGGAAAATGGTGTTAAGAAAATGCTGAAGTGGCTGTCTTGAGCTTGGAAACAAAGCCAGTGTAAGAATGTCAATTGAGAAGTCATCTACAGGACTGCAAGTCATTGACAATACAATGGCAAAGTCACAAGTCACGGCACAGGGATCTCTTGGGACCTCTTCTGGGAGGGCTGTAGAAAGGAACTCCACTGTCAAGGACAGACACCTGGAGAAAGTTAACATTTTAGGACTGGAGGGACGGGAAGACAGATAATACAACAAACGACTACCAGAAACTTGAAAGAATCCAGTGAGATGTCAGTAGAGGTGGGGAAAGAAAAAGACCTTGGCCTGCAGCTTGTGACTGCTATAGAATACTCGGGGAAATGCGTCATATCTGAAAACCACAAACCTAATAATAATTTGCAGTTACAAAGGACTACTCTCTAGGCGTAAGTGTGGTACTAGCCTATTTCTCCTGTCCCATCTATTTCCCTGTCCACAATGCTTCTTCTTTGAATTCCTCAAGAGCTCCAAGCATTCTCTTTCTAACTCAAGATCTTTGGAATGTTCTGCCAAGCTTTGCAAAGTTAACTTCTAGACAGCCTCTAATTTCGGCTCGACTGCCACTTTTTCATTATTCCTCATTGGAAAACCAGGAACACACTGTTAAGCTTTCTTCCCAGGCGTCTCTCTGAGGAGCTTAGCAACTATAAACCAATACGTTTGTTTGTGTGATTAGCAAATTAGATTCCCAAGCTGCCCTAGAGGTGATGTTTCTATTTTGTCAGTCTTATTACCACCAGTTTATATATAAGTATCTGTGTATATATAAACACATATGCTTGCAAGTTTTTGTTGGTGAAACACAAAAAGAACTACATGCAAGCAAAGTAAACAGAACAAAACAGTATGTAAGTTTGATGTTTTTGAAACTAGCCGAAATAGTGGCAGGTACTAGTCACCTTCAAGTCATCAAAGCAATCTGCAGGGTAAGCAAAAACGCAAGTCTGCCAGAAGAACCACGGGGATTTTACAGTAAGTTAGCCCAGTGTTCAACGTGTAAGGTGCTGCTATTCTTAGGAAATACTGACTTTCCTAGAACATACAAGGGCACTGCATAGATGCTGAAGAAGGCAAGAACGAAGAACAGCCAGAAAACAGCGCTGGCATCAGGACAGAAGGACTTCACTGTACACTGCTTACTCCTCTCCGCATTAGCGGAGTGGCTGTTTTGACAGCTCAGGACGGATTCCTCCTGCCCAACAACAGTAGATGCCATTACTCGGTTCTGGGAAGGAGAAAACGAGAGCCAGAAAGCCGGTGCCATGCTGTAGCGGAGGTACTCTGGCCACTTTCATGGCCAAAGGCCCTCCCTGACTTAGACCGATCTACAAGGCCACTCCACCGACAGCTTGCAAGCTCGCGCGTGGACGACAAACGAGTGTGGATCTCATCAGCACGGCTCTATTCTTTGCTGGACACGGGGCAAGGTGTGAGGGCATAAGGCTGGGCACTGGACCAGGGCGTACCTTGCTTGACTCGGGGCTCCCGGGCGCCGGGGGGTCCGGCGGGCGCCGGCCTGGCCACGGGCTTCTTGCTCTGGGCTTCCCCAACAGCTCCGGCCTCGGCACTTCTGGCCCTGGAAGCAGACACGGCAGCCCGCACCGCCGCGGCTCCCGGCGCCTTGTGTTTCTTGTTTTTGCCGCCCATGTTTCCAGCTGCAGGAAGAGTGTGCTTCCAGATCCAGATCGCGGCGGCCACACAACAGAAGCCGGAGAGCTAGCTCCTCACGTTAGCCGGCTCCCACGCCTCCACCCAGCCTCCTCCATCCGGGCTCCTCGGCTGGGGCTCCGGCTCCATTGGTCCGTTTTGCCAGGCTCCGCCTCTTGGCTCCCGGGCACCAGCGGCATGCCTGGTGCCGTGCGTCACTTGCCGTTGGGTTATTAATCACTGATCTGCCCACCTCGCAGTGGTCGAAGAGAAAGGACAGGGGCCCGAACCCGGACGAACAGGGGGAAAAGTCGCGCAGGCCTGGAGACGCGCTCGTTTCGACCCCTGCGGGCCGCCGTAGAGTCTCTATTCGGCGTCACTGTGGGTGCGATTCGCGGGGCCTGCTGGGTAGGAGGGAGATTCGGACTCCAGGGCTCCGGAAGATGGCGGACGCCTTCGGGGACGAGCTCTTCAGCGTCTTCGAGGATGACTCGGCCACCGCAGCGGGAGCCAAGAAGGACAAAGACAAGGAGAAAGAGAAGTGGAAGGGGCCGCCAGCGCCCACAGACAAGGCGGGGTAAGGGGGGCTTCCGAGCTGTTGTGTGTGTGTTTCCCTGTGCTGGGTGCCCGTGGGAGGAAACCCGAGCCCGGCGCGGAGCTCAGAACGTGGGGATGTTCGTTCAGTGGAGCCGGGAGGTGAAGGAGTCGGAGAGGAGAGTTGTGGGCAGGAAGAAAACGTTGTGAGAGGGGGGAAAATACGGTCTGGGCGATCGCGCGTGTCCGCAGGTCGTGTCCGATCGCGCGTGTCCGCAGACCGTGTCCGATCGCGCGTGTCCGCAGGTCGTGTCCCAGCGTGAGTTCCCGCCCCTGCGCTCCCTCAGGCCACGCTTGCTGGCTGTAACCCTCACATCGCAGGCTAGGTAAGCTTGGTTTGGGGGGCCGAGGAGGGGGGGATCCTGTGTGTCACCTGCACAAAACCTCCCACCTAGTCTTTAAACCGTTAAGAACTAGTTGAGCCAAGGTGGAAACGTGTAAGGGAGAGTGTTTAAACCGCGAAGGCAAATAGCTTTACACGAGGAAGAGATTTCATCTCCCGAGGTGTAGGTTTAAAAAAAATAAAAAATAAAAAATCAGATTCAAGGTCTCGCTGTTGTAAGTTAGGCAGGCCCGGAACTCGCTATTCTTTTATTTCCGTTTCCCTAGTGCTGAAATTGCTGGTGTACCCCACTACACTCAGTTAGACCAGTTTATTTCTTTCTGCATCTCTTACCCGGACCTATATTTAAAAAATAAAAAAAAAAATTTTTTTTTTCTTGAGGCTGAGGAGATGGCCAATGGATAAGAGTGCTTTCTGTGCAAGAATAAGGACCTAATTTCGCGTCCCCAGGGCTCACATAAAAAGTTGCGCATGGATGTGTGAGCACCTGTAACCCCAGCACTGTGGGGCACCGACCAAGAGGCCGGGCTGTCTCATTGCCAACCTAGCCTCAGAGTTATTTCAGTGAGAAACCCTGTCACGAGGGAATTATGTGGGATGCTGGAAGTCCTCTGGTCTTTACGATGTGCAAATACCACACAAATAAGATTTTCTAAAAAATTTCCTCTTTATTGTCAAAGTTAGTTTCAGTTGTTAACCCGAGGAATTGCCTTCACCAGATTGTCCTGGGGGACAAGTCTTTGGAGCATTTTCTTAATTGCTAGTTTATGTGGCAGGGCCCAGTTCACTGTGGGTGGTACCTTCCCTGGGCAGGTGGGCCTGAGCTGTTTAAGAAAGGGAATTGAACCAGCCAGTGAGCAGCATTTCTCTCGGGTCTCTGCTTTGGTCCCTCCAAGTTCCTACTTTGTCTTTCTTGGATGATGGATTGCAAACACGAAAGCTGAAATAAACCATTTCCTCTCCAAGTTGGTTTTGGTCAATGTTTTACTACAACAACCAAAAATCATACTAGGATTTTCATCAGCTGTTCATTTTTACCTTGAAATACAGTTCATAAAGAAAAGGCAAGCTTAATGCTTGGTTGTGTATCAGTTTTGTTTTTGTTTTTCAGAGGCAGGGTTTCTCTATGTAGCCCATACCTATTGGAATTAAAGGTTTTCATCCCCACACCTGGCTTCTTATCAGTATTAGGGAAATGAGGTGTGCACACCCCCTCCCCTTCCTCTTCCTACCCTCTGTCCTTTCATTGGTTAATTGGAGCCCTCTAAACCATCACCACAAACAGTAGAATCTGCACCTCTGAGAGCTTCTTGGTAGTGCATTTCATCTTTAGCCTTCCACTTAAGCAACCTATCTTTCCCATCGCTGTGGAGCAGTTTACGTTGTCTAGAATTTGCTTAAATTTAACATTTAAATTTTGTTTCAGCATAGTGTATCTTTTTTTTTTTTTGCCTCACTTTACTCAGTATATTTGCTGTTTGTTCCTATAACATACCAACATTTTTCTCTTTATTGCTGAAAATTGTGTTTTACGGATGTGCCATATTTAGACTTTTGCCTTTTAATGATCACATTATCATTTTTAAGATTGTGTGTGTGTGTGTGTGTGTGTGTGTGTGTTGGTTACTTGTGTGCAGGTCAGAAGGCAGCTTTCCACCCACCTTGTTTTGAGGCAAGAATCTCTTGTTTCAGCCGAAGCACTGTAGAGGTGAGCTTCTGGCCACTTGTCTTGTCTCTGCCTTCTGTCTTCACTGTAGGAGTGCTGGGATTACAGGTGTAAATCACTACATCTGGCTTTTTAAAAGAAGAGGGGAGAGGGGGTATGAAACTCGGGTCTTCAGGCTTGTGTGTCAAGTGCTTTCACAGCTAAGCACTGTGTCCATTATCTTGCTCTTTGAACTTACAGTCGTTAAACCAGTGAGAGCTCTTCAAGCTAGCTCTTACGAATTTATTTTTATTCTTAAGATGTATTTACGTTATGTGTATGAATGTGTTATATGTATGTATGCATGTATGTGCACATATGTGTGCCTGTTGGACCCCCCCCAGAACTAGAGTTACCAATGTTGGTGCTAAGGAATCAAACCTGGGTCCTCTACAAAAGCAACAAGTGCTTTTAAGGGCTGAACTATCTCTCCAGCCCCACAGTGTGAGTTTTTAAAGAGACTTCATCAGTCTTTGTACCTCATATGCTTTCTCGTGTAAGGGTATCCAGACTCATTGCCCTAGAGCTGGAATAAGCTGTATCTCCAGTCTTTATGAAGTTTCTTGGTTTTTTGTTTTGTTTTGTTTTGATTCTTCAGTTGAGTCAGTGAGAAAGATGGTTTATTGTACACAATTTATACTTGGCCACAAATGAGAACAGAACTAGTCCAGAATGCCATAGGTTCAGGGCAGAGGGCCAGCGGGACTGTTTTGGTTGTAATGAAGGCAATCAGGTCTCTCAGGTGGTCTCTGCAAGCAGATGGTGATGTTCCAGGTCCATTGAGGCATATACCTCAGTATTGCACAGTCCAGCAACTTGTACCCCTCTCCCAGCCCTCAGCATCCTCTACCTCTGCTCTTCAGACCTCAAGGGTGCACAAGCTGGTTTACTTAGACCTCTGCCTTATCTTTTCTTGTGCTTCAACCTGCGCATGTGCTTCTTCTTCCACTGCGCTGTCATGGCGCAGAAGTTTCAAGGAAGATGGTGGTAAGGCTAAATGTCTTTAGTTTCTCGTAATGCAAATGTTATTTAGTGCATAAGGTGCTCATGCTATTTGATTTATTACTTTTAGGTTTTTCAGTACAAATTGCTTAGGGAATCTTTCTTTAGAAAAATAAAATTTATATACATCTGATATAATTAATACCATATTTTAAACAACTTCATTATAAATGTCATTTTTTTCTCTAAGTCATTCTTCATAATAACATAACATTTTGTTGAGACAGGGTTTCTCTGTGTAACCCTGGCTGTCTGGAACTCTGTAGACCAGGCTGGCCTTGAACTCATAGAGATCCCCCAGCCTCTCCCTCCTGAGTGCTGGGATTAAAGGTGTGTGCCGCCACCGCCCGGCTACATAATAGTCTTATTTGAAGTGTGATAGTTTAAACATAAGAATAATGAGTATCTCATACCTATAATCTCAGCACTTGACACTTGAGGCAGGAAGATTACCATAAGCTTGAGGCTGCAATGTGGGACCCGTCTCAAGAAAAGGAAAAAGGGAGGATAAGGAAGTGGCTTAGTTGGAAAATTGTTTGCCATGTTACCATGAGGAGCCGAGTTCAAATCTTTAGAATTCATGTGAAAAGGCAGACAGAGCAGTGCATGTGTGTAACCCCACACTGGGGAGGTGGAGACAAGAGGATCTCTGTGGCTTGCTGGCCAGTCAGTCTAGCTGAATCAAGTTCAGTTTCAGTCAGAGGCTTGAAAAAATAAGGTGGGAGATGATTTGAGTAAAACACAGGTTGTTGCCGGGCGGTGGTGGCGCACGCCTTTAATCCCAGCACTCGGGAGGCAGAGCCAGGC